CTCTCCCTCTCCCCCCTCTCCCTCTCTCCCTGTCTCTTGCTCTCTCTCCCTCTCCCTCTCTCTCTGTCAGACACACACTCTCTCTCTTTCAACACACATACACCCTGGCTGAGCTGTTCTTGCTGGCTGCAGCCGTGGGCCCCTGCTCACCGTGCCGCTGCCGCTGCCTGCGAAATGACGGCGGTTCCCCTCACTTCCAGGAATCCACGCTTCCTGGAAGGTGAGTGGCTGGGCTCACCCCTGCCTGCCACCGAGACGCAGACATGCACACACCACCCGCACTCCCTCGCCGCTTCCAAGGCGGCGGCCGCGTTCGCACCCCAGGGTCTCACCGGCAAGGGAAGGATAATGTAAGTTCAGGCAGAAGGCGGCTAGCGGAGGGGGGAAGGGGGTGCGGGGCTAGGAGCCAATTCAGTAACAACTCCCAAGCCTGAGGAGAGGGAGAGGATGGGGGCTGTGGGGGGGGGGGAGCGGGCGTTCCTCCTTACACTTGCGGAGGATGGGAAAGGGTGTTTGGTGTTGCTAAGGAAAGACGGTGACTTGGACAGTGGGAGCTTGTGGTGACATCTTGATTAGGCCTTGGGGACAGAGCTATAGCTGCCTGGGGTGAAATGCCGAAACAGGCCTGGGTGGGAAGGGGTAGTAGGAGCTTGAGGTAAGAAAGAGAGGCCCTGCCAGCAGATGCCTCAGCCTGGAACTGAGATCTGAGGGGCCAGAGCCACCTCCCCACAATAGAGCTGGGGATGGGCGTCTTTCTTTGCTCTGTACACTGTACTGCTAGCAGGATAGCATCCTGCTACCTGGAACCCTTGGCCAAGGAGGGAGAGCAGTGAAGATGAGGTCTCTTGCAGAGAAGTGTGGAGGCTCAGGAGCTCCTGGCTATTCCCTAGAGACAGCCACTGTGAGGGGATCGAGGAAGGGCAGCAAGAGCAGAGAGCTGGTCTCCTTCAACATGAGGGCACATTTACTCCAGCACTGCTTCCCACATCCCTCCTGCTGTTTTTCTGCCCTTTACCCATCTCCCAATTCCTCGAATGTGAACCTTATGATTTGGCTTTGCCCTCTGGGGGCTCAGCTAATCTATGACTTTGACCAAGAAAATTTCCCTGAGACCTGAGAGCAGCCTAAATTCTTGGCTTTGACAGTGCAGGATTTCTTGTGAGTCCTAGGCATTTGAAATTCCCTCACTTGGGTTTCTGGGGCTGAAAGAGGAACTGCTGAATATTCTAAATCTCACTCTAGTTCCCTTTTCCCTCTGGCTAGGACTCAAAATTCCTATAGCCCCACCAAGATTTTCTGGTCCCTAAAACAGATTCATTCTAATGTTTTAGTGCCCTGAAAGTAGACTTGATCCTGTTTTCCCTTTTACCTTTATCCTAGGGAGGACAACAGTACCAAAGAGCCTCTGAAATTACTGATGTGCCTTGAGGCTCCAGCTTTCTCACCTGTTTCAAGGCCTAAATTGGGAGAGCCACAAAGGGTGCTTGCCCCTCATTGTCCCAACATGGCCCTTTGAGGGTATTTTTCCCCAGATAGCAAGCCTCTAGCCCCACCAGACAGCCCCAGCCCTAGTAAGCTGGCTCCAGCAATGGATTTCCAGCAAGCTCACTCATCCTTTTAGGGTCGAGGCCTCAGCACCAGGGCCCAAGGCCCTGTTGTTCCCCATTGCTAACATCAAATGATTTGGAGCAAGTCAGTACTAACATTTGAAAAGGAACAAGAAGATCTCCTTTTTGGCCCTAGTAAATCCCACACTTAGTTGAAAGGACATATTTTAAAATGGGGTCTGAGTATATAAGTCTTAACCACAATCCTGAGATGCTCACTTCATGATATATTTGTAGTTCTGATGTCAGGCAACTTTTTTAGGGGGAACTCAGATTCAAGCCATAAAGCTTTTTCTATAGATTATGAACAGATTTCCTCAGGCTTTAATGGGATAGAATGGGGGAAATGGGACTTTTAGAAGAGGATATGAATGGGAAATGGTCCCAAAGTCCTGAGTGGTTGTTTTCTTCCCACTGACCAAAGCTGGAGAGGGATCCCTCAGGAGGGTGTGTTCCGGATTTCTTGCCTCAGGCCCAAGACTCCAACCATTTTATAATGGAATCTTTATTTTGTGAAAGTAAGTATGTGCATAGTTGGGCAATTGGGTAAAATAATAATAGGTGGACTTAGGGATGAATTTTAGGGTCTCTCATCTCTTGTCTCTCTCTCTTTCTCTCTCTCATATCTAGGCCTGTGTGCACACATCCTTGCATGTTCATGTTAGCAGATACTGTAGAGGCTATGGGTATGTTTATCCCAGTAGATATATTCTTTTTATGTCTATCTACATATGTGATATGTGTCTTTATGTTTATCTACATGTGTTTTTATTTCACTCATATATTTGTGCAGAAGATTGTGGGGAGGAGGGATTTTTTTTAAAAGAGTCATTTTCAGGTATGTTATCTGATTTTTTAAAAACATAATACTCAAAAAATATTTTTACAAAGCAATTTTTTAACAAAGTAAAATGAATATATTGAGGGTAAACATTATTTAACTTTCAAGGAAATACCAAATAGTAAATATATGATTGGAATCAAATCATTAGAAAGGTTTCCAGAGTAGTCAAGTTTTTACTGAATTTAGAAAGTCCAGGTGGGCATGATAGCACATTCTGGAAGCTGAGGCACAGAGTAAATTCAAGGCCAGCCTGGATGACATAGTGAGTTCAAGGCCAGACTGGAATAAATAATGAGAGCTTGTCTCAAAAAAAGAGAAAAGAACTAGGGATTTAGCTCAGTGGCACTGCACCTGCTTTGCAAATGTAAGGTCCTAAGATTGATCCCTGGTACCAGAAAAAGAAAAGAGTCCAATAGGCCCACCTCTCCTCTGAGAGGGATGTTTCCCAGTTGGCCATATAAGTGGTGGCCACAGACATGGCCCCACACTGTCTGTCACCAGCTCCCAGCTCCACCACTACCAGCTCTGTGACCTTAGACGAGTAACATAACCTCTTTTGTGTCTCATCTGAAAAGCTAATATTAGCACCTATGTCATAGGGTTGTCGTGAAGATCAAAAGAGATAACTGAAGTGCAGAGAATGATCCCTGGCACATAGTAAGCCCCCTGAAAATATTACCTGCTATCATGATTATTACTAATATTATAATTAGATTCAGGGACAATTTCAGCTGCCCTTCCTACAGATCCCAAAGCTGGACTAGGGGGCTCCAGAGGGAAATAGTAGGAAAGAATGTCTGTCCCGAGCCACCCCTTCCTCAGCCCCCTATTCTCTCCACGCTGGCCCGCCCCGCCCCAGCCCTGCTTCCTGCGGATGTCAAGCAGTGATGCTCTTCCCGTCAGGCCTACATAAAGATAGGGTAGGCAAAGCCCAGCCACTGAGCTCATGGAAGTTGGTACCAGGCACTGGGCTGGTGGGGGACACAAGGTATGGTGCCTACTACCCAGCATTGCCCTGTACATGGCTATGGAATAAATGTGAAATTTAACTGAATTTTTAAAAAAGATTAGTCAATGGACAGTAGATGGCTCCAGCCCCAGCTTTACCTGCCCTCTTGTTCTCTCCTCCAAGGTAGCGGGGACTCATCTCTGGAGAAGGAGTTCCTCGGGGCCCCAGTGGGGCCCTCAGTGAGCACCCCCAACAGCCAGCACTCTTCTCCCAGCCGCTCACTCAGTGGTAAGTGGAACCCTGTACCCTGCCCCCTGCCTCACGCACTAGGCACCCCCATTTTTGTTTGCCTGTCAAGTCACTGTCGACTGGCAACCATTTCCCCATCATTACCTCCCTCTGGTTTCCTACTCAGTCTCTAAAATTACAAAGAAGCTCACTGTCTAGGGCTTTCATAGCTTCTGTAAAAACAGTGGATAGTTAGGGCCGGGAATTTAGCTCAGTGGCACCTCGCCCACCTCGCAAGCAGAAGGTCCTGAGTTTGATCCCTGGTACCAGGAAAAAAAAAAAAAACAGTGGATAGTCACTATCAGACTAGGGTGGGAACTAAAACGGGCATGGGTAGCATTAAGATAAAAGCTCCCAAAAGAAATCCCAGCGGGCATGGTGGCACATACCTGTAATCCCAGCACTCAGGAGGCTGAGACAGGAGGATCACAGCCAGTTCAAGGCCAGCCTAAACTACATAGTGAGATCCTGTCTGAAAAAAGTAAACAGAAAGAAATTCTGGAACTGGAGAACCAGGTAGATAGAAATGGTCATTAGGTAGAGGAAATAGAAAGAAGGACCTCCCTGAATCCACACCCCAATCTCCTGCCCAGGCAGGGTCCCCCTGACTGCTCCTCCCCAGCTGGCCCTAGATCTGTGACATTCTCTAAATGGTTGGAATAGCCAGGAATGTAGGTCAGAGCTAGAGCCAAAGCCTTCTCCTCAATAGCTCCTCCCTCCTGTACCCTCCCTTCATATTTGTACAGTAAAGGAGAGGGGATTTCTTATGACGTGGGAGGATAATGTAAGCCATGACTGTCTTTCAGTTTTGATCTCTCTTTAACCTGTTGTCCCCCTTCAGTCTTCTGAGTACTGATTTCCCGCCACTGTTACTTGCTGGCTTCCTGCCCAGGGCCAAGGCAGACATCTTAATGACAGGAGATTGCAGAAGAGGCTCCCCTACACTGCCTCCTCTCCTCAATGGCAAAAGAAACCCCACGTACCCCAATTTTTTTCTCTTGAAGCCTATTTGCCTGATGGTTGGGAGAGAAGGGAAAGGTTTTCAGGTTCCAGCAGGATTCTGGCTTCATCACTGGGGATACTATGATGTTGGCCTCTTTTAAGGCCTGTCTGTCTCAGGGCCTGGAGACCCCATTTCATACTTCAGGAGTATTGTTCTGCTGTGGAGAGTACCCACTTTGCTTGTTCTAAACACTGTCCCACCCTCCAGCCAACTCCATCAAGGTGGAGATGTACAGCGATGAGGAGTCGAGCAGACTGCTGGGCCCAGACGAGCGACTCCTAGAAAAAGACGACAGCGTGATCGTGGAAGACTCGTTGTCAGAGCCCCTGGGCTACTGTGATGGGAGTGGGCCAGAGCCTCACTCGCCTGGTGGCATCCGGCTGCCCAATGGCAAGCTCAAGTGTGATGTCTGCGGCATGGTCTGTATTGGCCCCAACGTGCTTATGGTGCACAAACGTAGCCATACGGGTGAGTGAGCCAGAGGGGTCCAGGGAAGAGCTCCCAGGGCAGTGGTGAGAGGCAGAGCAGTACTGGGACAATGACAGAAAGAAGACTAGAGGAGGCCACACCACAGTAGGGCAGCCTCAGAAAGGGAAGAGTCTCCCAGCACATTTTCTTGCTGACCAAATAAAGGAGAGCTGGACATGGTAGCACATGCCTGTAATCCCAATTCTTAGGAGGCTGAGGCAGGAGGGTTGCCATGAGTTCCAGGCCAGCCCAGGCTACACAGTGAGTTCAAGGCTAGCCTGAACTATAGGTGAGACCCTGTCTCAAAAGCAACAAAAACAACAAAAAAGGAAGAAAGAAAGAAAGGAAGGAAGGAAGGAAGGAGAAGAAGAAAGAGGAATGGGATTTGGACTCACCTCAACATCTGTACTTCCCTGACACTTTCCTTAGCTGTTGTTATAAAGAAAAACTAGTATTTTTCTTAAAATGTGAGAGAGAAGCCTGGTATGGTAGTGCACACTTATAATCCCAGGACTCTGGGAGGCTGAGGTAGGAGTATCACAAATTCAAGCCCAATCTGTGCAATTTAGCAAGACCCTGTCTCAAAATAAAAAACACAGAAGGGCTGAGGATATAGCTCAGTGTGAAGACTCTGGATTCAATCCCAAATACTGAGAAAAAAAACAACCAAAAAAGATAGGGATGTGTTGCAGATCAAGAGAGATCTTGGAGGCTGGGGGTGTACTTCAGTGATATAGTATATGTTCAGCATGAGAGAGGCCTTGGGTTTGAGTCTCAGCACCACACACACACAAAAAAGCCAGAGGCCGGGGATTTGGCTCAGTGGCCCAGCACCTGCCTGGCAGGCGCAAGGTCCTGAGTTTGATCCCCAGTACAAAAAAAAAAAAAAGCCAGGCACAATGGCACATGCCTATAATCCTATAATCCCATATAATCCCTAAGGGAAACTGAGGCAGAAGGATCACAGGTTCAAGTCCTGGATAATTTAGCAAGATTCTGTCTCAAATATAAGGGGGTGGGGTAGTAGCTCAGTGGTATAGCACCCGTGGCTTTGAGCCCTGGTACTAAAAAAAAAAAAAGGAAGAAGTAGGGGCTGGGGATTTAGTTCAGTGGTTCCAGTGCCTGTTGTTCAAGCGCAAGTACCGAGTTCAATCCGCAGTACCAAAAAAAAAATGTAACTCAGAAGAAGTATCCTATAGTCTTAACAGGGGTAGAACTCCTAGGTATTGTTTGGTTCTCTCATAACGAGAGAGAGCGAGAGAGAGAGAGAGAGAGAGAGAGAGAGAGAGAGA